TGGGCAAACACAGCCCTGTTGGAAGTGCTGTAAGGAAAATTAACTTTATCCCAGCCAAAACCAGTACAAGGGGTAATCAGAAATAATTCACTGAACAGTTTTGGTGGCACAGAAATACGTTTGTCTGAACTGAAGCTGCAAGAAGGTAGAAGCAAAAACCAGCAACTTGGAATGGCAGGGCACAACATAGAAAAACTCCTTTTCCAGACATGCCATTAATGCCAGTCAGTTCTTTGTCTTTTTAAAGGATTTAATTATTTAATCATTCAATCTATGCTTTTGCTAGTCCCAGCTGTCCCCACCATATATTACCAAAAAAAATCTCTGCAAGCAGGTGTAAGTACTTGCAAAGACACAATCACAAAGGATAAAAGAAAAAAGCTGTTTATGTTGACTAGAGACATGTGAATTTTCATGACTGCTTTTAGTTTTTCTCAAGTGTTTTTTCCTTATTTGTTAAACCATGAAAAATGTTGGGCTGTTTGTGCTCCAGGTCAACACTAGCATCTGCCTCCAGCAGGTTGTACAACATGACAGTCTGGACTTTCAAGGTAGGTGAGTGAAATGAGAAGACCAGATTATAATAACTTTTAATTCTACTGTTTCTAAACACTGCACTTAAACACTCCTGAAGATCTCCAATTAATTTTGTTTTCTACCTTTCCTCTCCAAAGTGTTGAATGGGATGGAATCCTACCAAAGGCCTCAGCCTTACCCATATATGGGAGTTGGAATTTGTCCATTTTTCCAATCTAGGTATGACATGGAGATTTGATCAGCTTTTTAGCATTGTCCGGCAGTACAGATGGATCAATAGGAAAATAGCTCATGGCAGCAATAGCAAACTCTCCCTGAGGTCAGCAGGTAGAGGCAGCACCCACATGAGAGTGTGCCCTTCCCTCCTTCATTCATTTTATAGTGGCAAGCAAAACATGCAAAAAAGAGTGAAGGAGAGACTGGTGTAAGTGTGGATTTTTTGGATTTTGCTGGGAGCACAGTGGGTGCTGGGCTGGGGCTGCAGGCACAATGAGAAAGGCAGGGCAGTGGGAAGAGGTGCAGTTCCTCTCCTTTGTGCTTTGATTCAAGGTCAGTGACTTGGACTCTGCTTCATCCAGAAACGTTCCTCAAAACACTAAGCCAAGAACCAAGCAATCTGACATGCCAAAGTCCGCTGAGAGCTGTTCTAAGTAACTATTTCCTTCATTTAGGGTTTTGAATCTTTTCTTTACAGCGTGTTGCATTCCCTCTAACTTGCATCTATCAATGCTACTGAAATAACAAAAGTTTGCTGAATAGCCCAAAGGTGGAAAAGCCCCTTCCTGCAGCTGTGTTTTTTAATCTAAATTTAGAAAGAGCACGACATAGATTCCACTTGGACCCTGAATATTCTTTAATTATGGCTATGTGTTATGGCTGTTTGGATTTCACAGTAGAAAAGAGGAAAGTCATAAACTAATGGGAAACAGTTGTTCCTCCTTCCCCAGAAAATATAAATATACAAGCAGTAAATTTTATTTGATTTTTAAATGGAGATTCTTGCTCACTATATTAATAGATCTAAGAGTTATCATTTGCGTGATGACATTATGGGCACAACAAATGTGTGATTTAATGGTAGCTCAGATCGTCTAAAGACCAAAAATTGCACCTGATAGCTCTAAAATATAATGCATGGCCGTTCATTTAAGAAAAACAAATGGAATCAGTAAAAATATAAAGCATGTAGAAAATAAAAGGCAACAGAAATTGAATATGCGTATAGCTATTTTTCCAAATTCCTTTCAAAACTATTCATATAATTTAAAAGCATTCAGAAATGAGGTCAGCTTCTGGCAGATCATGTGGTCGTGACTTTACTGAACCACTGTTCTGTGCTCAGCTCCGTATGTGTCATCCTTCTGCTGTGTAATTTTGTTTCCAAAGTCTAAAGATATCATTAAAGTGACATGTCTGCAGCCTGGTATAATAGACTGACCACTTTGCACTTTAAAAAAAAGTCACAAATTTGTTAATCATTAAAGATATACTGAACAGAATTTCTATGTAACTATATCTTATTAATTCTTTGAGAGAATAAAGTTTCCAAGAAGTCGAGAAAAGTATTGCTGCAGACGTAGAACTTCAGTTTTTCCTAAAGCTTACCAAGAGCCCTCAAGTTTTGTACACTTTTCTCTTTTCCTAACATCCTCCTCCTTCAAACACCTTGCTTCTTCATCTCTTAAGAGAAGGCAAGGTCTGGAACAGTGTCTTTCATATTGCTGCCTTAAAGCAAGAGCAAGAACTTCAGCTAAATATTAAGGAAATAATACTCATCTATAACAGAAATCAATTAAATAGTTGATGCAAAGTCAGCATTACCTGGATCTTTAAGAAAGTTTCAGAGAAGTGGGGAGCATTGAAAATAACTTGGCTTTGTAGCCTGAATTTCCCTGGAATAAGTTTACTGGTCCAGGGAGGCTTTTTTATCTCTTTGGTGCGTTATGTCTTTCTGAGCATAAGGAGTAATCAGACAGTACTCAGGAATTTTAAAAAAAATAAGAGGAAGAGGAAATATTTCTGAAAATAAATAGCTTCCAAAATATTTTTCATCATCAAAACTAATAAAAAAATATTGTCCAGATATGAGCAAAAAAATGAACTGGTTTTAGAAATTTAGAGCTCAGGTTATTCAAACAATACTATACTTTTATAAATACTGATTTCAGTTAAAGTACTCATCTTTGCAAATTACTGAAAAGTAAATTCTTATTCTTACAGGAGCAATGTAAAAAGTAAGAGATCATTGACACTCTTTTATACCATCTAAATAACCTTGTGGAATAAAAATATCAAGGGTTTCAATCAAGGTATTGGCTTGCAGACCTAACAAGCTGAGGAAACCTGACAAACAAAGATCTTCAAGCAATCAGGCAGAAGATAATTTCATCCTTGTTTATAGTTTGAAGAAAAAAGCTCTTTTAGACTACCATGAAACACATTTTGAAAACCAGAGGTTTCTGTAACTGTAAACTGAAATTTAGAAATTATCTAAATTCCACACCAGCAATTTCTTTATTTGTCTTCCTTCCATAGGGCTGTACTACACAGGTCAAATCAACAACTTTTTATTCATCTACAGCATCCCCTTTTAATAGGAATTTCTGCCACTTACACTGTAGATGAGTTCCAGATTTTTTTTAGACCATACACTACATAAATCCCTTTGCTCTGTCATGCATACTTTAATAAACACTTAAAATATTCCTTTTGCTACTGCAAGTGATTCTTAATGTTTCACATAGCCACAGAAAATGCAAAAGAATTGAACTTAGTAAAATTCCAGAAATGCAAATCTTGAAGGCTCAACACAGAACTTTTATCACAGATGGCAAATTTCATCCCTTCCAACTGTGTAGGCATAACTTTCCTTTACTATGTTAAAAAAGCAACTTTAAAAGTTTTTAAGAAACTGGCTTAATCTTCCAGCTTAGGGTCAGTTTCTGCAGGTGTATTAAGGGTTCTTAAACACTGTGACAAACAGCTGCAAAAGTTATTACCAAATCTGCACCTCATATTCTGGTGGCCTTGCCATGAGTGAATTGTTTCATCCTGTGAACAAGGATTCACAAGATTTTATTTTAACGAGTGTTTTTCATTACCAGCTCATCAAGTCATAACTCACCACAGTGGAATTCTCACCAAGGAATTATCCCATATTATTGTTTTAAACAATAATACAGTGAAATGTCCTGTGTCCTCTGCATCCATAAACTTGAACTTCCTAATTACATTAGGAAATGTTTTGTGTTTTTAGCTAATTTGATCTTGCTAGTACCTCTTAGAAAATGATTATAACAAATAGTTCTATCAAAAAAAATGCTTAATGCTAAGCAGAAATTTTTAAATTAATTTGAAAAATTGAATTAATAAGAAAGGATTAGAAAACAGAGTAATTATTCAGCCAATTTATAAATTAATTATTCACATCATTAATGGATTCTGTGCTGTTATCCCAGGTAGCAAGAGTGTAGAAGGACTGGTAAAGCTACAGAGAAAATCAAACAAATAGATGGATCAAAAGAGGACAAGCAACAAAATGTAACAACTTCTCTGGAGGAAAAACTGAACTAAGATTCTACAAATTCCAAAAGAGAAAATTAAAAGAGAAATTACTGAAGGGTAAAAAAGTATGAGCAATCTAAGTCAATTGGGAACAGTAGGGGTTTGCCTTTTTCAATTCAAAAACATCACATAAAATCACAGCTAGGAAATTCAAAACAAAAAGATCTTTACAAAATGAACCCTAAAGCTATGGAAATCCCTGCTGCAAGATGCAATTTAGCAATTTAGAAAAATAAATCCAGCAATCAAACCCATTTGGAGTAGTTTATGATTTATTCTTAAATGTTATTTCTGGGTTTCTGGCACTCTCTGAACTACAAACCACTGAAGAATGAAGAATTCCATGGGACAATAACACTGTACCCTATTTCCTCACCCTCTTAACCAGATAAATTACAACAGAAAAGAACTACGGTAAATGGGTCTTTGCTCTGACTCAGTGGAGAATTTTTGTGCTCTGAGTAGCTGACAGGCTAAGACACACACTGCAGATTGACAGCTCAAACAGTAAATTGTACAGTCCTTGGCAGGAGTTTTGAAGGGAGTTTTGAAGCTGCCAAGAGTTCAGTAATTTTCACAGCACCTGCTTGGCCATCCTGGATCCATCCAACACTATTGGGTGTTCAGAGCTCAATTCACTGGCCAAATGCACCAAAGTATTCAACATCCACATCAGAAATGGAAGACAGGGGACACTCTCATGCAGAGAGTGTCTTAGGCAGGCAGATATGGAGGGATAGAATGTAAGAAAATAAAGATAGTGCAAAGGTAATCTCACAGCTGAGGAGTTGCAGCTGTACTAATCACCAAAGATTAGGAACAGGCCTGCCCTTAATTGGCCACAGCTGAGTCCAATAATGATGATTGCTATAGAAGAGGGGCTTAGCTGGGTGAGGAGAGAGTTGGGGTTTGTTGGCTGTGGTGTGAAGAAGGAGTCAGTGCTGTGGGGAGATCCCCATGAGAAATCACCGAGAAGGTATGGAGCTTTTGAACTAAGATTACAACAGGCAGACACTTGCAGCCTCTCTGAAATGTGTGGCTTGTCTTCACGTGGAACTGCTGATGCAGTCAACCAAAACAATAGGGCCTTGCACTGACAGATATTGCTACATCTAAATTGGAGAAGAAGACATTATGTTTCCAAGCCTGCAGATAGGATAAAAAAAAATTAAAAATAAAAATATGGTTTTCCGTTGCTCCTTGAGGGAAAATAAAATTTTGGGAGAAGCATTATCCTGTACTTACACTCTTCCCACAATACCCTCTGTTGTTATTCTCATAAACAGGACACTAACTAGAGAAACACAGATGCTCCCATGCTCTTTTACAGAATTTGCCCATGTATATCTGGCTATGTTTAGCAAAATATCAAACAGTCTTCAAAAAAGCCTGATAGTCAGCATATTTTAAAAGGAATGAAAAAAATGAGAAAAAAAAAAAAAAACATGAGACTGTGGCATAGCTATGTAGTTCATTCTTCAGAATGTCTTTCTTTATTAACCATAAAGAGAAGCATATCTCCCTTGGTCTCGTGCCCAGATGACCCAGGTGTTTTCTGTTCAAGAATTGCTTTCTTACAGACACAATGTCCTCATGCCAGCGACAGCAGGTGCACTGGTGATGGAAGAATTGTGCAAGTCACCTGCTGCAGCTGGGAACTACATCATGGCTCCTGCTTTTTCCTGAGGTAGTGGAGGCAGGGCAGTACAGATCCCTTCAGAAATCTGTGGGGATTTTCAGAGAGAAGAGACAGGGTCCTAGAGCTGGTGTGTGACCACCTGCTCTCACCAGGTCATTAGCAGGGCAGAAATTGCCTGTCAGCCACAGCTACCAAGAGCTCTGGGAGCTGAGACACGGGCAAGGAGCTTTCCAGCTGACCTTGAACAGGAGGAACCAGGGATATTGTTCAGAGGATCAGAAATGGCATTCCCACCACACCCAAATTCACTCTCATAATAAGCCAATTCAGTAACCTGAGACATTTCCTCTGAAAATGAGAGATTTCCTCTGGTTTATTTTATATATAACCAGCCATTTTATATAAATTTCTTTACTTTTAAATAACTTAATCAGAAACTGTCACCAAACACCTCTTTGATTCTTCATTTCTAAAAGCTGCAGTTGCTTACAAAGGCCTTTACAATCCAAGCTGTTTAGAAAGTCCTACATGACATGAAAGTAGCTGATCTGCCAAGACAGATCAGCCTTCTTAAATATCTGTTGTTTTTCAGGTGGACAACATATGTTCTTGAAGAAAGAAAAATTCAGGCAACATAATAGTTAACTAATGAAAGCAAAAGAATTTCATGTAACAGGAAAATCTCCAAAAAAAATATTATTCTGGAGCTCACTTTCTTGCTCCCAGCCTTGTACTCCTGTCAGAAAAGATTTTTAAATTTAAATAAGTGCCAAAACATTGGTTAAAGGGCTGCTTTGGTTTTTTTTTTTTTTTTTTTAAGCAGAGATCTTTATCTCCTTCTTAGTCCAAACTATAGCCAAACACTTTAGGGTTCCTTAGACACTTATTTTCCTACTGAGCCTCCCTTTCCCAAATTAAGGTTTGTAAGACTGAAGAAGGTAATGTACAATATGGGCATTACATTTTGCTGCTGCACCTTCTTTAGTTAGGACATCAACAGTTATGAGCTGCATGCTGTCTTGAGACAAGTTTCACAGTTGTTCTTGTTTTCCAGGGACTCCTTTAGTCACTTCACTCTTGTTTTGTCCATTCATCCAACAGCTCAAATCTATTCATACTCAAGGTCTATTTCTCAAAATCTATATTTTATTTTGAAGGTGATATGAGGAAGCTTTCCAAAGAATTACAGTGAAATAGAGCCATGGCAGGGGTGGAGATTTTAGTATCCATAAATCGACCCTGACTTTATAAAGTCCCCTGTACTGAGAAAGTAGAAAAGAATATTATTTACATGTGAAGTAAATTTTCTGAGAATCCTGGCAAATGTGGAAACTGGAATATTTTTTGATTTTGCATGAGTACCAGGTGTTTAGCTAAGCAGCTGAAGGATGGCAGATAGATTGAAATGTATATGTGGCTGGTGGATTGACCAGCCTGAATTACAGGAATTGACTATTCCTGAATTACAGGAACTGAAATGAAGAAATAAACTGATAAATGTTTTGGGGGCTGAAAGCTGAAGTAATTAACCTACACATTAAGTATCATAATCCACATTTTGCTCTTGCTAGCAGGAATCCCAGGAAAACAGCAGGGCTCTGTGTTGAATGTAAGTAATTACTTATGTGTAAAAAGCACAACAGTAATAACTGAAAGATAAATTTACCTATTTGGTATTTCACTAAGCATTTCTTAGCCCATTTCTATCCACCATTCAGAGTAAAAAACACTTTAAATAACCTCTGCAAATGGCTTTGAACAGGCTGCTTGTACAAGCTCTATTTCTGACTTTACTGAATAATTCTAGTAGTTTTCAAATTATGTCAACAACAGTCCTGCAAACATATGCTTACTTTTAACAAACTCAGGTGTCTTACCTGAATTTTATTTTAAAGGTTGTCTCATTTTTACATCATACACTTGAATTTAATTTTACTATAATGGTCGCTGTTCAGCCAACAGCGATCTTGGGGTTTTTTTCTGAGTGGATAATAAAAAGCCAAGTACCATTGGCAGTAAGGCATTTCTGTTGTTTTTTAGTTAAAAATCACATTTGCAGTAATTATTTGAAAACACCTAAATATTTCATGACTAATTCTAATTTTTGACCTTCTGAGTATCTAAGGTATAATTTATGTTTCAGGGACAATGAGACAATACACAAAAATTAGTCTATGATATTATAGTCATGATATGTCTGGATGTATTCTCTTTATACATCTAGTTAAAATTATTTATCACTGGAATGTGAATATACTGAAAAGATAATGCTTTTATTTCATTTCCTATCTAGGTAACTGAACTATAACTTTGCCATTTCACTCTGATGTAAGTTCATTGGGATAAGATGTAAGTTTATAATGAATTGTTCTTTGAAAACACTGAAAGATTAAATAGCTCTCTTCTATAAAAATCTGTAAAATATACCTAATTTATTAATATTTTTGAAAGAATATTCTGAAATTAATGGGGAAAACCACAGACCTCTTATAATCATACATGCTAGAAGATATCTTATAACTTACCCTCAGAAACTTTGTAATGACAGGCTGGGCCAATCAAATAGATTAACCAAATAAAACATACACAACTTCTCCTATACTAAAGCTATCATATAGTTGAATTTATTTGTCTCCATTTAAAGTTTTATAGTTCGAGAAAGTTTTGGAAATATTTATGATAAGGGAAGTGTAATCAGGCTTCTTTTGAAATGCATTGATAGAAAAACAAAGATTTTATGCCTGAATTATACTTATTCAATTGCAGCATTTCTCTGACTTTGAATAAATAAATATTAGTAGATAAAAATAATTATTATACATCAAACTAAACACTGAAGCAATCTATGCACACTCGTGCATATTAAATATATTTTCAGTTGCTGTTTTCAGTAACTGGAACAGTTTTAACAGTCTTCATCTTAGATTTTGAAATATCTCCAAGATAAAGTACCTATGGTTTTTCAGTCCATTTTTTTTTAAATATTTCCACATAACACTAAAATATATGGTAATAATTTTTCTCATTTATCCTAAATATCTGATTCAACTTTTCAACAAAATTTCACTTTTTAATATCATCAGCTAATCAATATTTGTAATTAAAATATAACAACATACTCTCAGGATTAACAAAATACTGCTGAAAAGAAACTTCAGAGAATATTTTTAAACACTAAAATATTTAAGATATTGGCAATTTGTATAGCTATACCTTAGAATTATAAACACTTTTACCACTTCTTAATCAGTATTAGGAAATAAGTAGTTTGACATTTTATTCAGATATGGAAAACAAGTAATGATCCAATATCACTACATTTCACTAGTTCTAAAAATGGGACATTTAGAATAGAAGGGTAGCGCAAAGGTGTACAGGAAAAATATATGCTCTTTTTCCCGTAGAAGGCAAATTATAGGTAGCCCGAGAGATAAATAGACATACTAGAAATATTTCAGGAATGAAAATATTATATTTAAAATTAACTATCTCTAGTTCCATAACTGAAACATGATATTTGGAAATTTAAGTAATTTTAAATAGTTTAAATTTTAAAACATTGCTTGTTTTTACCCAGTCTATTATTTTCTATTCATTCATCACTAAAATATATTCCCTAATAGTGTCTATAAGCAAATACATCTCCTTAGTAAAGAGCAAAACACAGTACTCAAACCACTATTTTGCACAGGAACACAGAGCAGTATTAATTTAGGTTTTAGTGGATCCTTGTCTCTAGCTTACCTCAGAAATAAGTTCTCCAGCATATGAGTCTTGGAAGTCTTTGCAGCACATTTCTGCTCTGCTGGGGCCATACGAACATGCATATGCTTTATATTTATGTATATCATTCACACAGAAATATGCTATGTTAAAGAGCCTCAACAGCACAATGTAAATGAAAATGTGGATGGTTGTGAGAATATCATGTTCTTGAAGAGCTTCATAAAGCATAAGTTATTAAGTAAGCACTGAATTCAGCTAAATAAAGATGAAAGCTTGTCAAAAAGTTGAAATGATACCCTAACAAATTGACAAAATTAATATATTATTATAAGTCATGAATAGTTTAACCACAAAATTAGATGGGCATATATGCCGTTGTTCTCTCTTTAATCAAATTACAGAATCTCTCCATTGTAGGCACAGACATGCAATTATATTTCCATAAATAATTATTTAAATTATAATCGAAACATTCAACTCCCATGAATATTTAAAATATATTCATTGATGTTGCGCTACAATGTAAAAGAAAAAAATATATAAATGCTGCCACAGGTAATTATTAGTGGCTTGGCTGTCAGTTAGTCAAATCAACTAAAAGACCAATTACTCTGACGATACCCAGGTTGGAAGGCTGGTTAAAGTGGAGTTCATTGCTGACATTAGGCCGTGTTTGGCCAGTTCTGATTCCACAGCAGTGGGGCTGAATTTCCTGTGAATTATTCTAATGAGGATATTTTGCATTTGAATTCACAGACAGTAACTTGTTCTCAACTTCAATCTCTTAATCTTGCTTAAACCTGTTAAACACTCAGACCACACTTCTCATGATGCAAGCACTGAATTACATTTCTTGCTAGATAAAATAAGGTTTAAATAAAGAAACAGATAACAACACAAAATGTTTCCTGCAAACCTCTTTTTCTTTCAAGCATATCTGTGGAGACCTGAATAGGTCATGTAGGAAATTCTCCTTCTGAAAGAAGGCAAATTGCTCTTGAAAATTCTACATACAGAGTACAACCATGTCCTCCTTATGGAATATGTTTCCCTTCAGAAACATCAAACCCAAGGTGATTTTTTAGATGACTATAAGCAGTCTGGAAGGACTTATCAGTCAGATGAGCAGCCTGCATACCTGACATCTGTGGTCTGCTGCTGTTGATTCACTTTCAGAGAGCAGTGGCTATAGCACTAGTTACATTCAAAGACCTGTAGTACTTTAATTCTTTGCTTTCATTAAAAAAAAAATTACACACAAATAAATTTAGGGAAGTAAATTAGAGATGGATGGCAAAGTTCTTAAAAATATCTCCCCAATCACTCTGAAGAATATTTTTAATTTGTTCACATATGGTAAGAGCAAAACCAGAGCACCCTAAGAAATCTCAAGCTTTACTCTCCACTGCTCAAAATTTTTCATAATTTTATTCAAAAAATAAGTCTACTTGTCTTCTTCAGTCACTAGAGAATTTTAGTACTACATATTGCTGTAAAGATGTATTAAACTAGCCACTAAAGCATTGGGAGAAAAGACATCTAGGTGTTTCGAACCAAATTCAAGTATTAAGCACCATAATAATGGGTTCATACCCCGGGTACTACATCAATAATTGTATCTCTCCTTAGACAAAAACACACTCATCAGTTGGTTGCTAGTTATGAATGTTATTCCTGCTGCAAAAGAAAAAAAATAGCGCATATGAATTTTATAGTTTTATTACATATTGCTAACAGGTAAAAAAAATAAGTAGACTTCTTTTTAATGCAACGAGATTCTTCATCTACTAAACAAAATTAATGGCTGAGTGAACTCCATTTAAAACAATTTAAAGACTGAAAATATCACAGAAATTATATGGAAATGAATCAGTCGCTCATGCATTTTAAGTAAATAAGGCAGAGACACTTTTTCACCTCTTTAGATGCCATGTATGTAAATAAAAATGAAAACTTTTTAAATAGCCATCTTGTGCTACATAATAATTGGCAAAATTACCAATTCTTTTATTGCTTACTGCAAGCACTTGCAGTTTCCCTTGTCCATTACTGAGCTCCTGAATTGAAAACGAAGAGCATCATTATTTAGCTGCATTATTAGCTAATTTTAGTAAATCCAATTAGTTTTAAGTACCTGATACGTTAATGTATTTAGCTTGCCGTGTGTCCTGCTATTGGATTTCTTGAGACTAAAAATGATTTAATCAAAATGTGAGCAGACATATAAAACTCTATTTGTCTTCTTTTATAATGAAACATCATTTTTAATGATGGAGCACTGTATGATGTGATTTGACTTAGAATACAAGCTTAGATTAGCTAGTACTTGCAGTTAGAAATTGCAGAGATTTTATTTGGTTTTATTTGTTGCATTAGTATTTACTTGAATCAGATAGTAAAAATGGAAAATGCTGAGGTGTATTTCTAGCTCGGCAGAAGACGAATATTGGTTCAAACTTCACTGTACTAATAGATATAAGATCACTATTAAATGTTGCCTTTTATTAATCAATTCATCTTTGGAAACTGTCAGCAATGCAATTTAAAGGGAAGAAACTTAAACTATGACAGTGTAATTAACACATAAGATTTGTTTTGCTTCCTGTCACTCTTAAATGTAAAATGTTAACATTCTACAGCACTCTCCAAATTAAAATAAAAAACATAAGGTATATAAATCCTTACTAGAAGTATATATCTCTTTATAGCAATCACCTTATTAAAAGAGGTGAAATTGTATAAAATATAATTGCAGAAGCATTATTTTTAAACAAATATATAAGGTCTGTTAAGTAACATGAAAGGGAAAATATGCATTTTTTTAAAATTCTACAGCCACTTGATCTGGGATTAGCAGATCTTAGGCAATACTGTATTTCCTTAGACTGCAAACCCTCAGGAGGTTTAAGCAAATATTTTTTTTACCATTTCAGGATACAGTCTCTCCCGGGAAAAAATTACCGAGCCTTTTTCTCCTAACATTTTATACCAAAAAATAATTGGCAAATAAGAAGAATTTAAATTCTAAGAAATGAATAGTAATGAACTGATAACTAAAATATTGCTTAAAGGTTCAAATACTGAGAGGTTGCAATAATAGTACTATTCTGTTAAGCTATGTATACTTCATCGAAGCCAGCGGAAAGGAAAACATACCATATCACCACCATACCGCAGGCATTTTCATACAGCCTAGTGCAAATTCAGAGCTTTCTCTGACTGTGCCCAATAAAACAGCCACAACTATTTTTAAATACATCAGGAGTCCATGACCCCATAAGTAGTAACTTCCCTTTCTTGATGGAGTGCGCATCTCACTTTTGTAAGTGTCAACGGTTTCTGGCTGGCTGGCCAGGGACCACGGCATCCTCTGCTTTTCTCCCAAAAAGGCCATGTCATTCTTATACAACTTAATCAGTGGCTACATACAAGAAAGCAACACTGCAGCCTTTCTGATCATTTTAATGAGGACCCCTGGCTATTCAGTCATTGAAATATAATTGACTCGCTCTTCTCTTATTTTCATAATAGACACTCCAACCTAGACCACATTTATTTTGCTATAAGAAATGTCAAGAAAGATTGGAAGTTTTCTGAGTGTCCCCATTAAAACTGAAAACATGCCACCCTGTCTTTTGCATTAGCTGCAATCATTTTGTATAGAACTCATTATGCAGATAGAAGATGCAAATGTTTCATCTATCTCACATCTAACCAAGCTGCAAGTGCCAAGAAAATAAGCAGGAGAAGAATAATTTTCTTTCTATGTCTGTGCCTGCGCCTGTGGTGTTTGCATTGTTTCACAATGCCAGTGCCCATGTGTATGCATGTGCTCACAGACAGCACACACACAGCTCCAAGTCCTAATATCTTATTTCAGGTAAAACCTAAAGGTTGCTTGGCACACATCCTCACAGCCAAGGAAGAGCATTTTTCTCAACAGAAGCAGCTCTGTGTAAAAATAACTATTACCTTAAAACCGAGTAGCAGAAACCATTTGAATGAGAAGATATCATCATGCACAAGAATGCATTCAGTGCTGTGTTTTAAATAGAATAATGAGCATGTGCATGTCAAATGTGTTATTTTGAATGAGTCCTAGTCACTTCCTATGACCACCCAGTTCAGTAAACAAAATATCAGGTAAGGAACTGCATCTACCATACGCTAAGTAAGCTCTGTCCATATCTGGCTGGGCTGTGACACACATTTCCCAGCTGAACACATTATACAGGATATCTACCATGAAAACTCATTCACTGTTGACTTAACAGTGCAATTTGCAGTGCAAGACAGAAGATATCTCTTCCTGTCACTTATTAACACATACAGCATCTTACTGATCCTACCAGTAAATACTATCCCCACAACATCATCACTTCTTTAGTAATTTAAAAATTTGACTATGCAAGTGTCATTACTTAGCATACTACTAAACACTCAAAATAAACACCTCACATCTCACAATTTTCCAATCAGGTTTTCAGCCCGAAAAACATTCCCAGAAAACTTCCATGACATAAACAATGAACAATGAAAAGATCAAAAATATAATTGCTACGAGATCTGATAAATTTAATCCACGTTCGAATAGAGAAAGTGGATTGATTTTTACAAGACTTAGAAAATGTAGGAAATGCACTTCTGTTCTGATGTATTATATATTATTACAGAGGGGACAGAAAAATCATACTTTACCTTCAAGCAACTGCATACTGAAATAATAGAAAGGGGTGGCAAAACAGATATTTTAAGTCAATATTTAATGTCATACATTATCATTTTTGCTCACAAGAGTCCTGACAATTCCCTTACCCATTTTTAGCATAAAAACATGAAAGTATCATTCTTTCTGGCATATTTACACAGTTTATTTTTGACATCCTTACATCCAGGGCTTGAGAAGGAGTGTTTCTGGGCCTCGTTTCAGCGGGGCGCTGTGCACCAACCCACCCCAGCCCTAGAGCAATGGGGCCGGCTCCTTCCCGTCTGCCCCATGCTTGTCTTCTCCTACAACTCAAAGATGCTGCTGCACGGCACCTTCAGGATAAAAGGACTTCTGAGCATCATGGAAGCTATCTGTTTGCATGTACATCCTGTCACCAAGCCACGGCCCCGCGCGCTTGCACACATTTCCCTGGGCCTGGCAGAAATAATCAGCGTACAAGAGGGAGGGGAAGAAGCCCTAGGCTTCCTCTGGATCAACATCAGTGCACACGTTCCTGCTGCTTTGGCAACACATGGGTGTACCTCACAGAGGACTTTCTGCACAGCAGCAGCACTTGGATTCTGACAGATAAAGGTTTCAGTAGTGCCAGCATATAGAAATACAGCTTTTCACACATTGATAATGTCATGTAATTTAAATGTCTAGAAGTGCAGCTATTAAAGTGACTTTTATTTACTCTTTTGCTGCAGCTACTTTACTGATTTTATTCACAAAACTCCTAGATAGTGAGATTTCCACCAGGTTGGGTTTTTAATGGAAATCATGACAATTTTTTTCAGCCTTCTCATGAGAATTTCATCTTTAATTTGGAATTTAAAATAAATACATCAATAAGTAAATCCTTGCTTCTAGCCCAGTTGTGTGTTCAACAAGAACTGTAGCAAATGTCATTCTTAGAGAGAAACCAAGAAAAAGTAAAAACTTTGCATCTGGTTTCACAAACAATCTCTCACTTTATCATGCCTTTAAAGTGAAAATATTTCATAAGAAAAACTAAAAGGATTTCTTTCTGAGAGCTCCTTGGCTGCCTGATGTTTGCCAGGTTCCAGCACGTGAGATGGAACTCAGCTGGCAGCAAACACCTGAACTGTTCCCACTCATCCTTCTTGTCCCATGACACTTTCGGGCTGTGGCCAGGCATCAAATGTGCCTGACTTCTCTGGCTCCCAAACTACTGCATGACCCTTTGGCCATCCGCGTAAAGGAGTTCAATTCTTGTCCCCTTCTTGTTATAATCCACTTTAGGATACATTAATAGTCTTTTTCCATAGGTTCTCATCCTGCTTCTTGTCTGTTGTTAAGAAGTCAAAAACAGCCTCCCCTCTGGTCTCAGAAGCACTTCTGTTTCCCCCAGACAGTCCATCCAGGAATAAGCAACAAGATCTCACTCCATGCCATGGAAGAAGAGGAGGTCAGAAATGTCAGGAAGCTCCAACCCTCACAAGTGTTGTCCTTGAACTGTCTCAATAAAGACGCACTTGGTCTGGCAAAGCAGACTCACAGGGAAAAAGAGAAAAATGAGAAGGACTAACACACAGGCAAACAACCAGTTTTGGAACTCAGTGGATTTGATTCTGTTTCTCTTTTCTTCTGTGAGTTGGAGAAGGAAAGGGCAAAGAGACTCAGCTTCATCTTGTTTTCTGTGTAAGAGAAGACCCTTTCAGTCAGGAGATTATCACAAGCTCCTTAAAATGATGGTATCAGGACCAAGTCTGCCTCACTGGGCTGAGGACCTGTATTGCAGTCCAGAGGGATGTGAGTTACAAAGGTGCTTGTGCCAGTCCATGTAGGTAAGTGCTTCCTGTGACAAAGAGAAAATCCTGTTCAAGGCACAACAACATCCCTCTATTGCCATTCTTCAGCAAAGCTTCAAGTCCTCTCTCATTGGCCTTGAAGACCCTCCATACCCCGTCATACCCTGTCTTCCTCGCTCACCTCTCCCTCAGCCAATTCTTTGCTATTTTTTAGACTGTTCCCTATTCCAGGAAACCAGTACTTCTTTTCCACCCTGACATTTCTGAGGAGCCACTTCTACAATCTCTATACAAACCTACAAGAGAACTGTTTATGCACAAGAAGATGATGACTTCAAGAGCAGAAAGGTTGCAGGAGGAGAATCTTACTGTATTTAACCCCAAGGAAAGTGAAGTTTAGCTTCTTCAATTTGCATTTCACTCTAATTAAAAATTAGCTTTAAATAGTAATAAAAAATTAGTTTTACAAAAAAGACATAGAATTATTTGCAGGGTGGGTGGTGTTTGTGTTAACTGAGAGTGGCAGAATTCAGACCCTCTGTTTTGTACTCTCTTATCAAAAGCCAGAAGCATTTCTTTCTACTTGCTTTAGAAAAAAAATCTATCAAAGCCACAATGCAATGGGAAAATAATCATACAATGGGTTGGAAGGAACATCCAACATCATGTAGTTCCAAGATCCCTGCCACAAGCAGGGACACATCTCACTAAATCAGGTTGCTGAGAGCTCCATCCAGCCTGGCCTGGAACACCTCCATGTGTGGAGCATCCATAACTTCTCTGGGAAACCTGTTCCAGTGCCTCAGCAAAGAACTTACAGCAAAGGTCTTACATCAAAGAACTTCCTCCTTATACCTGAACCTACTGTCTTTCAGTTTGAAGTCATTCTCCTTTGTCCTTGTAAAACCATGGAAAAATATCAGGGTCTAAAATTATGTATTGTACAAAAAGTAGCTTTGAGAACATCTTTTCCCTGCAAACATCTCCATGCACCAAGTGGTCATTTCACCCTTTTGTTTACCCTAATCAGAGACCAGCTGTCTCCCACAGCAGCACTGTGTCTTGATCAGAGTTTGATTTATTGGAACAAACAAAAAGTCCTGACTAATCGCATGTAAATCCAGGATACTTTGGACACCCCAAAGGAAAAGTGGGCCACTGGGTAGAAGAAGGAGATTTATGGTCACTTTCCCACTAAACCTCTCTGGACCAATGTAAGAATACAGCCACCAGTAAGAACTCTCTGTTCTCTCAAGTAGGCTGATGGAGAGGAGAAACAGTTGTTGCTGGAGTATAAATAAGAAATCTAACAGCACAGACCACTTTGCTGTGTGCCAAAGAGAGATAATAGATTCTATCAGGAATTAGGCATGAAATTACTTCTTAGAGTCCAAGTCCTACTATCTACTCAATACATTTTTAACAATAAGCCAGCAAAGGCTTTAGGAAGTCAGAGATCTTTAAAAATTATCATGGAGCCTGGAAACAGGAATAGCCACATGGTCATCATATTGTGACATGTTTTCCACACTTGCTACCTTCCACAAGTTACCAACAACAGTGGTAAGACCTGTTAAACCTGCCTTCCCAGGCTTCTATATTCACCAGGGATTTACTGGAGTCAATGCAATATTGTCCTTCTCTTCTTATCATTTATAATGTGCTTAGCATTTGGAAATTTTTGTAGGTTTTATATGTATATGTACATACACAGATATGTATGGGCACGCATCAAATGCTATTGTAGCTAAAATACACAGAGTTCAGTGTCCTTTATAAATAAAAGATTAATTCTTTTTCCCTTACATGGGGAAAGCATGTACTTCAACAAACTGAGCCAAAACCAAAATATCACTACAAAATTCTACTTTTGAGGAATTTCCAGTCAATCCAAAAAAATTAAATTATTTAAAAATCAAAAAAACCTCTGTCTCTGGATTTTCAGACAATATTTTGTCTGTCTTTGCCTATACTATGTAATACTTCAGAGCTAAACTCTGTCCTGACTGATTTTTTTTTTTTGCTTTTTTTCTTCATTTGAACAGGGGAAGCCTAGGGCAGTGAATGTCACTGGGAGTCAAGGTGCCTCACAGACAGGCACGCTTGCCTTCAGCAAATTTAGAGATTTGGTCCTCGGGAACTCTTGGTATTCCCAAGGAGAAATGGCAACTAAAAAAGCATTCTGAGTATCTACATTTCAGATGTAAACACCTAAATTCTTCTGCAATCTTTAATCTCCCTGAGTAGGGTAGCTGTTTAACTGTAATGCAAACATCTCAGCTGCTCACCCTTAATTCTGTGCAGCCAACAGCACATTAAGAAAAAGTCTTATTTTATACAGAAGTCTGATATTTTACAAATATCTAAAAACAAAATAAATCACTCCTAGAAAAGCTTATCTTTCTCCACTGACCCTTAAGTGCAGAGGATGCTTTACTGGGATTTGGGGACCTACACTGCAAGAATCTACATTTGCTCAGATAGCCCCACTGCCAATTGTCTTTTTTTCAGTGGCAAATTACTGTGCATCCTATCCTAATAGGGAAACAGTGATCATAAATACATCAATGATTCTGAGATATGGGAATCCCTGACCTTGGTGATGTATCATATAAATCTCTTTTAACATAAGGGAAAAAACCACTGGTCTGTTCTTAAGTATGGTTATGTTCAAATACAAATGAAAGTTTCTTCCAGACTGTTAAAGCTATATGATTTGTGATGCAAATACAAGTTCATAGTAAAAGAGCTTACCATCAGGGTTTTATTTTGGCTGCCTATTTGAATATATTACCTCTGGGATTTAATCATGACCCTGGTAGTCACACCAAGTAATGTCTTGCTTTACCAGTTATTGCACAGAAAGTGTTTTTGGAAGGTGGCCCTTTGCCTCCAAAGTTCTGGGAAATATAAAAATGCAAAAAGAGAAAAGCAAGAAGATGCTAGTTTCCTTAGCTAAAGGTATTGTTCCAAGCCAGGAAGCTTGGAGTGTGTCTCTCCTACACTGAGGTCCAAGGCACGTACCAATATAGTTTTTCTCAAGTGTAATCAAGTTGACATCTATCTACACTGATTACACTTCAGAAGGGGAGAGGGAAATTCGGGAGGTGGGAGAAAGGTTCTCTTCTCTCTGGTGGCCTCAGAAGTATCCTCCACAGGGTAGTTTGGGCCTCTGGGCATAGCCCTGAGAAATGGGTGGTGCGTAAGGAATCATGCTGGAGGTCTTATGCCTCAGAGATGCTCTTCCCTATTCCTGCTTGTTCCTCAGGGGAGTAATTTGTTGCTGGTCTATACCAGCAGCAAATTACAGCAACCCCTGTGCCAGTTCAACTTTCATCTAGGAACTGGAAGAGGCAGGGGAGTGAGGGACAGAGGGCTTTGGCCTTTGCCTGACCATCTGCCTGGTGAAGCACTGGTACTATTTAGTCAGTTTTCTGCCCATTCTCCAGTGCATGATGCAGGAGAAGCTACAGTGACTCTGAAGCTTCATAGTCCTGACTGTGCTGTCTGTCAAACACAACTCAATCTGTTCTTTTCTTTTGACTCTTGCAATTCACAATACAAGAATTTCTAAAAACCCTGCTTCACTGAAAGCCTTTTTGCATCAGGGAGACTGTGTATGGCTCAATTCTAAGCCCTTCAAAAGCCAGTCAAAGAAGAAATGCTGACTATTTTTTATTGTATTTGTGTAGTATCCCAAATGCAAAATAACACTGCTCTTCATTACATTGCTCTGCAAATGACAAGATCCTGCTGTTGCAGGATGCACCAAGTGAGTCTGGCAAGCAACTAGCTGACCTTTATACAGATTGAATTTTTATTCTCCCTTTATGGTGGCAGTTTATCTTGATCCTCATTTTCAGCTCCTTGCATGATAGTTCAGCTGGTTTCTACTGCTGT